GGGAGGGAAGGAGGAAAAGTAATTAAAAAACTATGAAACGAACAGCCACCCACCGACCTACCGCCACTTCTCAAAACTAAAAAAATCCCTTCAAGCAAGCCCACACTGAAACCAAAAATATTCAAGCAATTAGGACAAATGGAAAAAAATAGGAAGTAATCCCTGTGTTAACTTTCACCATCTCTTTTCTCTTCTGAAACAAGTCTCAGAACACTTCTAATAGCATTTTTTTTTTTGCTCCATTATATTTATAACAGAGTGTTGTATTTACCTACAGAATCTATGCACGAAGAAGGGAGATGCTGGCTCTGAACTCCCATCCACGTGACTATTTTTGCTTGAAAAGCAGACTTACCAGCGGGAGACAGAGTAGGAGCAGGAGTAGCAGGAGCAGTAACACTTGCTTGGGGTGAAACACGAGGTTGAAAAATATCTGTTCAGTAAAAATATGTCTTAAAAAGCAAGGAAATGCACCTAATAGAAATGGTTATTTTTTGCAAGGATAGGCTGTTACAAAATGTTTATGATTGATAACAGAAAGGAAAAATAAAAAGCATTTGCTTGAAAAAAATAAATAAAAGAAAGCAACTAAAAGATGTACTAAACAAAAAAAACCCCAAACACCCACCTACTCACCTGAACTACTCCCAAAACCAAATAATGCCAAGAAACCCAGCATCCCAACCAAAACTAGAACAAAAAATACCACACTAGGAAATAGGGCCTAATAGAAAAAAACTGCAAAAATAATTTTAATCCGTGTGTTAGCTTTCAGCATCCCCTTTCTCTTCTGAAAAGAAGTCTCAGAAATTTCTGTTACCACCAGTTTTAATGCTCTCTTATGTGAACAAGTAAATATTGCTGTATTTTCCTTAGAAGTTGTGCAGCATGAAGGGAGGTGCCGTCTAGGAACCCACATCGGAGTGACTATTTTTGCTGGAAAAGCAGACTTACCAGCGGGAGACAGAGTAGGAGCAGGAGTAGCAGGAGCAGTAACACTTGCTTGGGGTGAAACACGAGGTTGGAAAATATCTGTTCAGTAAAAATATGTCTTAAAAAGCAAGGAAATGCACCTAATAGAAATGGTTATTTTTTGCAAGGATAGGCTGTTACAAAATGTTTATGATTGATAACAGAAAGGAAAAATAAAAAGCATTTGCTTGAAAAAATATAAATAAAAGAAAGCAACTAAAAGATGTACTAAACAAAAAAAACAAACCATACACCCACCTACTCACCTGAACTACTCCCAAAACCAAATAATGCCAAGAAACCCAGCATCCCAACCAAAACTAGAACAAAAAATACCACACTAGGAAATAGGGCCTAATAGAAAAAAACTGCAAAAATAATTTTAATCCGTGTGTTAGCTTTCAGCATCCCCTTTCTCTTCTGAAAAAAAGTCTCAGAAATTTCTGTTACCACCAGTTTTAATGCTCTCTTATGTGAACAAGTAAATATTGCTGTATTTTCCTTAGAAGTTGTGCAGCATGAAGGGCGGTGCCGTCTAGGAACCCACATCGGAGTGACTATTTTTGCTTGAAAAGCAGACTTAGCATCAGGAGGAGGAAGAGGAGTAGAAGGTGTAACGGCTGCTTGTGGTGCAACGCTAACCCGAAAAATATCTGTTCACAGACAGTAAGTTTACTTCAGAGAAGGAAAATTTTAAAAAGCAAGGAAATGCACAGAACTGAAATGCTTATGTTTGCAAGGAATAATGATTATAAAAACATTAATGGCTTATAACCTAGAGCAAGGAAGATGTCTTGGGGGAAAAAAAAAAAAAAAAAGAGTATAAAATAGGAAAAAAATTAAAAGCAGTATTAAAAAAGTCAAAAACCAAACACACACCCAATACTGCTGGTCTGCAAAACCAAAATATCCAAGCAACCAAACAACCAAACCCAAACAAAAACTAATAAAATACCCAGGAAAATAGGGATCAATAGAAAAAAAAAAATGGTAGGAGTTTTAATCCCCGTATTAGCTTTCATCACCCTCTTTCTCTTCTGAAAAATATCTCAGAATATTTTTGTTAGCATGAGTTTAATGCTCTGTTATGTTTACAATTAAATATTGCTGTATTTGCCTACAGAAGCTGTGCAGCATGAAGGGAGATGGTGTCTCAGAACTCACATCCAAGTGACTTTAATTGCTTGAAAAGCAGACTCACCATGGCTTTCAGGATCATGAAGTGCAGCAGCTCCTTTGGGCACAAAGCGAGGCCCAACAGATTCTGTTCAGGGAAAGCAAATTTTCTTCAGAGAAATTAAAATTTAAAAATGCAAGGAAATGCACAGAACTGAAGGGGTTGTGTTTGCAAGGGAAGGTTATTACAAAAATGTTAATGATTTAGAAAAGAAAGGAAAAATGGTAGGAAGGAGGGAGGGAGGTAGGGAAGGCAGTAAGGCAGGAACCAAGGAAGGGAATTAAACATAATAATATAAAAAAAAAAATCAAAACACAAATAGCCACCACTCCCCAAAACCAAAAACATCTAACCAACCAAGCAACCAAATCCAAACTAAAACTAAAACTGAACTATATCCAAGCAACTAAGGACCAATAGAAAAAAATACAACAAAATCTAGTATCCATTTTAATCCCTGTGTTAGCTTTTATCATCCCCATTCTGTTCTGGAAAAAGTCTCAGAGTGGCACTGTTAACACTAGTTTTATTGCTCCATTAGGTTTACATTTAAGTGTTGTTGTACTTGTCTTCAAAATCTGTGCAGCAGGAAGGGAAATGCTGGGTTGAACTCATATCCAAATGACTCTAATTGCTTGAAAGGCAGACTTACCATTACTGTCACGAGCATGAGCAGGAGGTGTTTTGGCTAGATGGTGTCCAATGCGACACCAAAAAGGTTCTATGCAGAGTTTTTAAATTTTAAAGAATTAGGAAATTCACAGCACTGAAATGGTTGTGGTTGCAAGGAAAGATCATTACAAAAGTATTATTGGTTTATAACAGCAAGGAAGGAAAAAATCTTTGGTAAAAGAAACAAAGAAAAAATTTAAATCAGTAATAAGAGCAGAACTCCCCAAAACCTAAACAATAAAGCAAACACACCCCCAACCAACACCACCACTCTCCCAAAACAAAAAATCCAACCAACCAAGCAACCAAACCCAAACTAAATACCCAAAGAAATAAGGAGAGAAAAAAAAAAAAATTACAGTAGTAATTTTAATCCCTATGTTAGCTTTCACCATCTACTTTCTCTTCCGAGAAACGTCTCACAACGTTTCTGTTAGCACCTGCTTTCCTGTTTCATAACGTTTTCAATTAAGTATTGTTGTATTTGCCTACAGAAACTGTTCAGCATAAAGGGAGATGTTGACTCTGAACCCACGTATGAGTGGCTCTAATTGCTTGAAAGGCAGAATTACCATCATGAGCATGAGCAGGAGGTGGACGAGCTGCTTGTGGTAAAACAGGAAGCCAAAAAGAGTCTGTTCAGAGAAAGTAAAATAACTTCAGAGAAAGCAAATTTTAAAAAACATGGAAATACACAGAACTGAAATTGTTGTGGTTGCAAGAAATGGCTATTTCAAAATAAATGTTAGCAGTAGTTTTATAGCTCTATTAGGGTTACATTTAAGTGTACTTGTCTGCAAAAGCTCTGCAGCATGGTGGGAGGTGCTGGGTAGGAACCCACATCCAAGTGACTCTAATTGCTTGAAAAGAGACTTACCATCAGGAGCAGGAGCAGGATGTGTACTGTATGCTTCGGGTTCAATGTGACGCCGAAAAGAGTCTATTCAGAGAAAGCAAATTTACCGCAGTGTCTTAGGTTATAATGTAAGAAATAACAAAAAAGTATGTATTCTATTACCGTCTTGGTAAGCTGTTAAGATAGATGGGGCATTTTCTTTATTGTCCTCATGACTCATTCCTGATAACTTCTTCCACGGGTCTATCTCCGCTAATGGGCCATTAAGGCCTCACTGCATGACTCATAAAATTACATCATCCCATTGTGAGATGCTCTGCCCAAGGGGGAGAGCCAAGCATCCTACCTGGATATAATCTGAGGTTTGGAACACCAGAGCAGCCTTGCCAACTGTTTTTCCAGAGGACAAGAGCTACATAACCACCACTGGACCTTCAGGGGAAAAGCAGACCTTTGGTGATAGACTGGCATTTAATGAAAAAAAGGTAGGAAAGACCTGAGGAACTTAACACTGATGGAGGCTAATGGGAGTTTTTTCTCCTGGCCAATCACTGGCCATTTTTGAGAACTAACAGTAGTTCTGATCATTGAAAAGTGAGATCAACCTGTGAACACCACCCTTTAAAACCTAAGCCCAGGAATTTCACTCTCTCTTTGGTTTCTGGTTTTGGAAAAGGTAACAGAACTCCAGCTCGCTCCCCTCCCCAGGCCCTGCGGCCTGAGTGTGGAGCTGGGCTGGGACTGCCGTGGTTCCCAGGTGGGGGATGGAGCCTGTAGAGTTTCCCCCCCAGGCCGCTACTGGGCTCTGCTGCAGCCTCCCGGGAAGCCTCCAGAACGGCTGAAGGTTTTCTGGGGGGAGCGGGGGATGACTCTAAGCATCGCTGAGCTGAAACCCAGCACCATGAACACCTGCTGCGGCTTGAGCAAGATTTTAACCCTTTCACTACCCAGATGAGACTTGCGGGTTAATCCTTTTTCCAGAGAGAGAGGAAGAGAGAGCATGATCCACATGTAAAGAGACAACATAAACTATCAAAGCCAGTGAGGAAAGGAATTAAGCCTCAGATGGGAAGAGAATAAGATGCACTAATAAGCTGAAATATTCTTTTGTTAAAACTATGGATATGGACAATAATATTCTGAAAAATCTCCTTTAATTCATGAAAAAGTATTTTGGAAGGATGAAGTATTTCAAAGTGTAGATCTAAGCAAAAGTAATTAATTGATGGAGGTGAGTAAATGGTGAAGCACTTGTGATCCTATGAGATGCTGGAACAGAAAAAGAGAAGTAAGAGTTGCTGAAGACTTGTGGCCTTTAAGGGAAAAAGAGAAAACTTCCATTTTCAGAGATGATCACAGAGACAGATGAAGAGAACTTTTGCCTTTGAATAACTCATCCTTAATATGACACCCCTTGAATCATGGCCCACGAACACACCTCAGAGTGGTGTGAAATAGGAGGAAAGGACTGATGGCAGAGTTTTCCGGTCAGCTGGCACCAGAGAAGTAGAAAGCCATGAGAAAATGGTTTTCTTGTGAAAAACTCTCCATAAAATGACAAAAGAGAACTTCTTTTTCTCTACAAAGACTGATAAAAAGACTATAGCCAAGTTGGGACTACTTTAACCACCAGGTTTTGTCTCTATGTTGTCAATTAAACATGGGAATGGTTGGGTGGTGGAGAAAAAGGGTTTCTGGAGGTTTTATTCTGGTTTCTTAGCCTTGTAGTTTTGCTAATAAACTTTCCTTATTCCTTTTAAGCTTTAAGCCTGTTTTGCCCTTCTTCTAATCCATATCTCACAGCAAGAAATGAGTGAGTTTTCTAGTGATTTTTTAGCTAGTGCTTTAAAACCATGACACCCTTCTACAGGATCCCCGCTTCAGCAGAACCACATCTATCACTCAACAGGAGTGCAGCCAGCATTTAATTGGACTACTACCACCACCCAACCTGACCAACAGAGTGCCAGGTTACGTCCTCACTCTGTCTGTTTAAGCCAGTGTTTTCTGCCTTTATTTTAATTTTCCTCTTAGATTGTAGTTCTGACTTAGAATCTCCGTCTGCTTTGTTTTCAAACTAGTACATAGTACATGTTACCAGCTGCTTGGGTTTCAAAACACCAAAAAAATTCTGTCAATAGAAAGTAAATTTACTTCAGAGAAAGTAAATCTTAAAAAGCAAGAACATGCAATAAGTATTGTTGTATTTGTCTACAGAAGATGTGCAGCATGAAGGGAGATGCTGGCTCTGAACCCACATTCAAGTGACTACAATTGCTTGAAAAGTAAACTTGCCATCATGAGGAGAAGCAGGAGCAGCAGCAGGAGCAGGAGGTGAAGTGGCTGCTTCAAGTTCAAAGTGAACCTGCAAAGATTCTGTTCAGAGAAAGTAAATTTTAAAAAACTAGGAAATGCACAGAACTGGAATGGTTATGGTTGTGAGGAAAGGTTGTTACAAAATGTTAATGGTTTATAGCAGAAAGAAAGAAAAAAGTCTTCAGTTTATAAAAACCCCAAACCCCAAAATAAATTAAAAGAAGTAATAAAAGAAAAAAAATCAAAAATCAAACAACCACCCACCCACTCAGCCACCCACCCACCCACCACTACTCCTCCCCAAAACCAAAAAAACCCAACCGACTAACCAGATCCAAAATGAAATAAAAAATATCCAAGCAAACACAGACCAAGAGAAAAAAAATTATAGTGGTATTTTTAATCACTGTGCTAGCTTTCACATCCTCTTTCTCTACTGAAGAGTCCCTGAACATTTCTGTTAGCACTTGTTTTATTGCTCTACTATGTTTACAATTAAGAATTGTCTTTGCCTACAGAAAGTGTGCAGCATGAAGGAAGATGCCATCTAGGAGGCCGCATCCAAGTGAGTTAAATTTCTTGAATGCACACTTACCACCAGGAGCAGGAACAGGAGCAGGAGCAGGAACAGGAGCAGGAGCAGGAGCAGGAGCAGGAGCAGGAGCAGGAACAGGAGCAGGAGCAGGAGCAGGAGCAGGAGCAGGAGCAGGAGCAGGAGCAGGAGCAGGAGCAGGAGGTGTAATGGCTGCTTGGGGTGAAACACGAGGCTGAAAAATATCTGTTCAGTAAAAGTAAGTATTAAGACACAAGGAAGTGCACCGGACAGAAATGGTTATGGTTGCAAAGAAAGGCTATTACAAAATGTTAATGGTTTAAAACAGAACGAAAAAAAGCGCCTTTGATTAAAAAAAAATTAAAAAACAAGAAGAAAGCAATTAAAAGAATTACTAAAAAAACCCAAAAAACAAATACCCAACCACCCACCAACCTCAACCACTCCCTAAAACGAAAAAATTCAAAGCAACCAAACATCCCAACACGAACTAAATCCAAAGAAAGCAAAAAAGAAAAGGGGACTAATAGAAAAGACCATTGGAATGGTAATTTTAATCCCGCTGTTAGCTTTCATCAACCACTTTCTCTTCTGAAGAATGTCTCAGGATATTCCTGTTTGCACTAATTGTATTGCTCCACTATGTATACAATTTAATACTGCTGTATTTGCCTACAGAAGCTCTGCAGCAGGAAAGGAGATGCTGGCTCTGAACACACATCCAAGACACTTTAATTGCTTGAAAAGCAGACTCACCATCAGGAGCAGGACCACGAGGTGTACAGGTTCCTTGGGGTACAAATGGAAGCCAGAAAGATCCTGCTCAGAGAAAGTAAATTTACTTCAGATAAGGTAAATTTTAAGACCAAGGAAATGCACGGAACTGAAATGGTTGTGGTTGCAAAGAAAGGCTATGTTGGTTCCAGACACAGTGTAGGTTCTGTAGGGTGACGCACCAGGGGTTCCAGAAAAAATGTAGGTCCTGTAGGGTGGCACACCAGGGGTTGTGTCGGGTCCAGACAAAATATAGGTTCTTTTTCTAGGCTCTCCCCTATGTGCTGGAATAAAAAAAATGAAAGAATAAAAAAGAAATTGAGAAAATCTGTATTTGTTGTTAAATACCTCTCAAAAATGTACATATTTGAGGAACGTCTAAGTTTTTGCTTGTTTTCTTAAATGCATCTTTGAAACACAGGGCATCTGATTATAGATATTAATCTTTAATAGACCAAGGACATTTAGCAAAAGTATCCTGCCCTAGGAAGAGCTGGAAAGCAATAGCACTTTGTTTGCTACAAATACTTACAGACACCTTTTCCCCCTCACCATTAGAATTCCTAATTCCCATGGTTTTAATCAAGGGAAAAAACTTATTCTGAAATCTCCCTGAAAAAAATTTTAATCCCTGAGTTAGATTTCCCCATCCTCTTTCTCTTCTGAAAAATGTCTCAGGACATTTCTGTTATCATCAGTTTTATTGCTCCTTTATCTTTACAATTAGGTATTGTTGTATTTGCCTACAGAAGCTGTGCAGCAGGAAGGGAGATGCTGGCTCTGAACACACATCCAAGCGACTCTAATTGCTTGAAAAGCAGACTCACCATCAGGAGCAGGGCCACGAGGTGTACGGGTTCCTTGGGGTACAGAGGGAAGCCTGAAAGATCCTGCTCAGAGAAAATAAATTTTCCACAGAGAAGGTAAATTTTAAGACCAAGGAAATGCACGGAACTGAAATGGTTGTTGTTGCAAGGAAAGGCTATGTTGGTTCCAGACACAGTGTAGGTCCTGTAGGGTGACACACCAGGGGTTGTGTTGGTTCCAGTCACAGTGTAGGTTTTGTAGGTTGACACACCAGGGCTTCCAGAAAAAATGTAGGTCCTGTAGGATGACACACCAGGGGTTGTGTCGGGTCCAGACAAAATGTAGGTTCTTTGTCTAGGCTCTCCCCTATGTGCTGGAATAAAAAAAATGAAAGAATAAAAAAGAAATTGAGAAAATCTGTATTTGTTGTTAAATACCTCTCAAAAATGTACATATTTGAGGAACGTCTAAGTTTTTGCTTGTTTTCTTAAATGCATCTTTGAAACACAGGGCATCTGATTATAGATATTAATCTTTAATAGACCAAGGACATTTAGCAAAAGTATCCTGCCCTAGGAAGGGCTGGAAAGCAATAGCACTTTGTTTGCTACAAATACTTACAGACACCTTTACCCCCTCACCATTAGAATTCCTAATTCCCATGGTTTTAATCAAGGGAAAAAACTTATTCTGAAATCTCCCTGAAAAAAATTTTAATCCCTGAGTTACGTTTCCCCATCCTCTTTCTCTTCTGAAAAATGTCTCAGGACATTTCTGTTATCATCAGTTTTATTGCTCCTTTATCAATAGGTATATCAATATCAATTAGGTATTGTTGTATTCCCCTACAGAAGCTGTGCAGGAGGAAGGGAGATGCTGGCTCTGAACCCACATCCAAGCGACTCTAATTGCTTGAAAAGCAGACTCACC